GGCGTACCTAAACCCTCACCTTTCAACCTACTCTGTCGACAGTAGATTGAAGGAGAGAGGCACAGTTGTCACGATGCCGTCTATTTTTCGCAAACGTGGCGAGCCCGAGGAGATCACGCCCTACCCCGCCCTCGAAGACGATGCCGAGGCCACGGGCATCGAGCCGCTGAAGGCTCTGGCTCAATTCGAGAAGGCACACAAGCTCGATCCGAACATGCCAATTGATGAGCTCAACGATGTCGATACCGCGCTTGCTACCGGAAACGCCGAGAAGGGTCTCGAAATTGAACAGGCTCTTATGGAGGACAACTCGCCCTATCCAGAGGTACGTCGCGAAATTCCGCCCAGGCCTTGAGAGCCTTGTATCGCGGTGGGACGGACAGACAGAGGGAAAAAAAAAGCCAAAATGAGAAACTCGTTCAAGTCGCTAACATGATCCGCCGCCGCAACAAAGGTCCGCGCTGTAGTACGGAATTACGATGTCGATTTGCCAGCAAATACGATTCGCGCATGGGTCATCGGCATGCTTCTCTGCACGGTTGGCTCCGGTGTCAACATGCTCTTCTCACTCCGTAACCCCAGCGTTACCATCACCACCTATGTCGTCCAACTTATCGCCTATCCCATTGGCCTGGGTTGGGATTTAGTCATGCCCGACAAGGAGCAGAACGTCTTTGGTGTCAAGTTCAACCTTAAACCCGGCCGTTTCAACTACAAGGAGCACGTTATCATTGTGGCCATGTCTAATGTGAGTTTGGACGATTTTTATCAGGAGCGGGGCGCTGTCGATACTCCAGATTGGGGGATAGCAGCAGCCAAGATTTCGAGTCGCGGCAAAAGAGGCTTCTTAGAGAAAAAAAGATCAACGGCAGAACTGACTATGATTATTAGGCTGCCTATGGAGGTGGTGTCTTGTACGCAACCGATGTCTTGCTTGCACAGCAGCTTTTCTACAAGCAGCACTTTGGCTGGGCTTTCCAGTTGCTCTTTGGCATTACTACCCTTTGTACTGGATATGGTCTGGCCGGTCTGGCCCGACGCTTCCTTGTGTGGCCCTCTGCCATGATCTGGCCCTCGAACCTGGTTAACTGTGCTCTCTTCTACACCCTCCACGATCACTCCGGCTCAGACCCGACCAAGACCAACGGCTGGAAAATTGGCCGCTACCGCTGGTTCCTCATCGTCAGCAGCGGCGCCTTCATCTGGTACTGGTTCCCCGGTTGGATTTTCCAAGGACTTTCGTATTTTACTTGGATCTGCTGGATTGCGCCCAAGAACGAGATCGTCAACAAGGTCTTTGGTGGCCTTTCAGGTTATGGACTCATGCCCATCTCATTTGACTGGACCGTCATCTCAGGTTACCTCACATCGCCGCTGATCCCGCCTTTCCACGCCATCGCTAATGTGATCGCGGGCATCATCATCTTCTTCGTTATCGTCTCTTCCGGCATCCACTTTTCCGGAACCTGGTATTCCGACTACTTCCCCGTACAGAGCTCCGAATCTTTCGACAATACTGGCGCCGTCTACAACGTTACCCGAATCCTCGATGCCAACTTGCAATTCAACGAGACCGCCTACAACGACTACTCTCCTCTCTACCTGCCGACTCAATTCGCTCTGGCCTACGCTCTGTCGTTCGCCGCCGTAGCTGCCGTTGTCGTCCACGTTGTTCTGTACCATGGCACCGAAATTTGGGGTCAGTTTAAGCTGGCACGCCATCAAGAGGACGACGTGCACATGCGTTTGATGAAGAAGTATCGTGACGCTGAGGACTGGTGGTATCTGGGTACGTTTTGTCGATGGTATTTTCCTTTGACCTAGGCTAACAATCATTCTCAGCACTCTTCGTCGTCATGGTTGCCATCTCGTTTGGTGTTGTTGCCGGGTGGCCAACTGGGTTCCCTGCGTGGGCCTACGTTGTGTGCATTCTGATTCCCGTATTCTGGCTCATTCCTATCGGCATCGTGCAGGCCATCACCAACATCCAGCTCGGCCTCAACGTTTTGACCGAGTTCATCATCGGTTACATGGTGCCGGGCCGACCCCTCGCGATGATGATGTTTAAGAACTACGGCTACATCTGCATGTCGCAAGCGCTGTACTTTGCACAGGATCTCAAGCTCGGTCACTACATGAAGGTACCCCCTCGTACCATGTTCGCCTCCCAGCTTGTCGCGTCGCTCTGGTCAGCTATCGTTCAGATTGCTGTCATGAACTGGGCCCTCGGCACCATCCCCGACGTCTGCCAGCCCGACCAGCCCAACAGCTACACCTGCCCCGGTGGTCGTGTCTTCTTCACCGCATCAATCATCTGGGGTGCGATCGGCCCCGCCCGCATCTTTTCCGGCCAAGCTCTGTACGCCTCTCTCCAGTGGTTCTGGCTCGTTGGCGCCATCACACCAGTTATTACTTGGTTCCTTGCCCGGAAGTGGCCCAAGAGCATCTGGCGCTACGTCAACACCCCCCTCCTCTACGGAGGTTCCGGCTGGCTCCCCCCTGCCAGTGTCTACATCTACCTCTGCTGGGCGCTCGTCGGCACCATCTTCAACTTCTTCATCAAGCGTCGCTACACTGGCTGGTGGTTGCAATACAACTACATTACCTCGGCAGCTCTCGATTGTGGCCTCATCGTGGCCACCCTCATCATCTTCTTCACGCTGTACCTCACATCCGCCAGGCCACCACAATGGTGGGGTAATGTCGACGTATTTCAAACGATGGACTGGAAGGGAACGGCAATCAGGACGCAAGTGGCACCTGGCGAGATTATTGGCCCCAGTCGCTGGCCTTGAGAGTTTGACGAGGATGTGAAAATTTGAGAAGCGTATTAATGATGTTCAGTTGGACAAGGATATAGGAGTTTGGTGGCTTCCTGAACGTATGTATCACGGTCTCACGGCCCTTGGGGAGGAGTATTTGGGTATTGCTATTATTTCACGGCTCTGATACGAGGATTGTCTGTACGGCTGATGATACCTCGGTGCGAATTTACTTGCCCGTCTTTTTATAAGTGTGAATCAACGATAGTATTTACGTTGCAACTCAATTCCAGTTGCGTATGGTGTTGTGAAGAGTGCCGCTTTATGCCAAGTAACGATACCTTACTTGCTCACGGTATCTTTTTTAGTGTTATTTTGAGTGTACGACGCGGCTTCCCAAGGGAAATTGATAGCAGCGACAAGCGTGCAAGCTGCCTCGATTGGAGGCTCGCCTTCCTCAACTCGGCACTCGACGCTATTGGGGCAGGTTCTCGGTGCACTTGACTTTCTACGAAGGAGCATCCCATTGAGAAGCTCACTTACCTCTAATTCTCTTACCTGGGCACATTAGTCGCAAAGACCTCACCTGCTTCGAGCTTTGAGCTTCCAGATCCATCGTACACCCTTCTCGACATCCGACAATCCGCCTGGCTTGAAGCAACGAAACATCACATCGCTACGAGTACATGTACCTGCTAGAATACCCCCAAAAGCTCGCTGATGAATACAATGGCCGGACCCAGCCCTGCCTCTTGGAACGAACCACCAATCGCTCCACTCCTTTCCCCCTACCGCGAAGATAAGAGCAAGAGACTACATAGCCGCGAAGGCAGCCGCAGCAGCGGCAAAAGCCAGTCCTTCTTGGCGTCCTTGGAAAGGCTGAATTCTCAATCTAACTGGAGCATGGGATCGATGAAAAAGAAGCAGGCCATGCTCGTGTCGCGGATGACGCCGTCTCGGGGGACACGGAGGTCGAGGGCATCGACCGAGTCCCGGGGGCCCTTTTCGTCCAAAGAGGACTTCGATGTCGACGACGTTGACGATGTAGACGACCTGGAGCTGCCGCCGAATATCCTGGCGGATAATTGGGGTTCTTCGGCACCTTCTTCTGGTTCGGAGCAGCGTCCAAGGCGTCGTGGCAGCAAGAAGCCGAAGAAGAGGGTGGCGAAGAAGGAGCAGAAGAAGAGAGGGTTTCGGGCCAGGCTTCGACGACTCCTCGGTCGGGATAAGAAGAAGAGCAAGGGTGGTCACGAGTCGCCATACAGCCACAGGGAGACAAGACAAAACATGCAGAGCGAGGACTCGGGACTGTCTGATCAGCAAGATGCCACGGCAGAGCGGAATCCTCAACCAACCAAGGCTGGCCTATCTCCACCGATAGAGAATACGCCTCGATCCAGCTGCCGCAACATTCTCAGGTACGAACAAGCAATGTTGGTATCGCTGGATAGGACTTCGGAGCTAGTACACTAATAAGGACCACCAGAGACGCTTTCGCCCAAAGTCGAGCTGAGGCAAAGGAGGAGCCGACCGATAGACCGAAGGAAGCTGTCAAGCCCATGGATGATGGACATACGACAAAGCAGTGAGCTACTCCTAGTCAACGGCTCAACATGCCTTGATAACGGAGATTGGCAAATAGCAGCACGAAGCTGTTGGGGTCCTTTGTGGCAATGCCCTTCAAGAACATCCCAAGACCTATCGGCCTGATTATGGTGTGGATGAATGGCGTAAGTTTGTACATTTTCGTATAGATGGTTTCTTTTGGCGGACCTCATTCCGATCCTAATACACTTCCTCTTCCTAAGAATACCAAATCGCTACCTTTGACCGATGCTACTCGACAGATCTAGGGTATTCAGAAGAATGCTTAACCATCTATCGCGGCCGAACCAGTGCTGGAACACACGGCAAGATGGCGCCAGGAAATCTGTCTCGGAATTTGAGACACTAAGCATCGATATTTCGGTTCGACGTTGCCTTGGATTAAGGCCGTAGTGGAAGTCACCGCCACCTCGATTTATCGCCTGGAATATGTCAGATCTCATCGCTGATGAACGCAATTCCAAAGCGCAGGAGAAGGATCTCGACCACTCCCTCCCGTGACGGAATGAGACGACATTTCCTGGTGGCGCTGTGCCTGACTAGCGAGGCCTGACTCCCGGGGGCTCTTTATAAGTGCTTATCGCCCTTCCCATGTCTAATGAGCGAATCCTTCTGAATCATCGGGGGCGAGCTTCATCCCTCATCATCACAATCATCGCAGGGGAAGGAAGAACGTCTTACTTGAGCCTCTTGAATGGAACTTACCAACAGAACGTCATGCTGGCGGAGCGGGTCCCGATCCAATCCCAGCCGTGCCCCATTTGACCACCCAGCCGGGTTCATCTCCGTGGTCTCCCCGAGATTTGCGAACGATCTAACAAGCTTGACAGGTTTGACAGCGTCTGTATTGCATGTCTCTTTCAGGTTCATTGTCTTTCGGAACTTTGTGTCAGTCCAGACAATGGGGAGGAGGGGCCAGGGGGCCAGGGGCACGGGGAGACATGCCAATGCAGACTTACCTCCCTTGCTCAACAAATACCAGTGAAAGGGGGTCTCGTACGGATATGTTGTCTCACTCTCTTCTCCAGGCACAGGAAGACAACGATAGTGCATTTGCATTTTCGTCGGGGCGGGAATAAGAAAAGGGGAGAGGACGAGAGGGCGGAGAGGAAAAAGCAAAAAACAACAACAATGAGGAACACGTCCTCTGTCCATCTCCCTTGTTTTCTGACGAAGTTTTAGTGACACCAAGGAAAAGCCTCCTGAGACAGGCTGAGTCAGTGACGGGCAAACAAAATACAAGAAAGTCTGGGACAGATTTCGCAACCATGATCTCTTTTGGAGCAAGCAGCAAGACAAGCAAGACGGGATTTGCGACTCTAGTGCTCTATTTCTGGTATTTGGCTCGTATAAAGCAAAAGGGAAAGACGCATGGAGGTCGAAGATGTTGCTTGGTTCTGCGACTTTTGTCATTACACAGGAGACACACACCCAAACTCAACTCCATATCCACACACTTCCACTCGTGATATTTGGTGGGGGATCAACGGTCGAAATCAACAATCAGTCACCATCAAATCAGCTTTCTTGACTTCAAGTCTACTATAACGAGAGTCATTGTTGAATCCGTCTATCGCTTTTTACCTTGAGCAGAAATTTGAGGCCATTCCACTCAGACAATGTCATTCGTAAGAGAAAGTAGCAAACACACGAGACTTTACGAGACGATATCTGGTTGCCGAGGGCCTGCTCTTCTACGACCGCGGCCGCCCTGACGCACTTATTTTATCAATCTACTTTGAATCACTATACGAGAGGAGACCGACTCCTCCAGACCGGGCCAACCCTTCACAAAAAAAGAAAAGCTCACTTTTCCATTGTCGGAAGGAAGCTGAAAGACACGATTCCAGTTGGCGCATACGGGCGCTTTTAATCGACTTGACCATTTGGGATCCGGAATCCCTCCTTTCCGGAAAGTCGCAAGCACAAGAGGCGAGGAGACCTCTCACACGTCCACCAGGTTCATCAACGCACCACGCGACGAAATAGTTACACGAAATACGTGTAAAGGCCGTACGTTCGACGCGGCAAAGGGAAGGACAAGGGGAGAGGAACAGAATGGGTCGAAGCGGGTACGATACCACAGACCTGGGAGGATTCGCAAAGAAGAAGAAGCCGAGGTCTGTCGGCGGTGCTGGTACGAGTGCTGGTGCCCAGGCAAGCCTCGCTATTCAGAACGACGGCGGTGATTACGGCGCCTCGGCTCAGAGGGCGATGATGCAGCGGCAGATGCAGATGCAGATGGCGCAACAGCAGTCACAGCAGCAGCAGCAGCAGCAACAACAGCAGATGGGAGGATGGAACGGCACGGGTTCGGGGTCTTCCGCTTCCGCGTCGGCTTCGAGTAAGAATCGGGCTGGGGGCGGCGGTGATGGGGCTGCGGCTAAGAAGTAGAGGTACTGTAAACTAAGGATGGATGGCTTCGTTGAGAGGGTTCATGAGACTCGGGATGTCGGCTGCTCGGTAGTATGGTTGTGTTCACTTGATCTTCCATATTTTGTGTGGGACGTTCGAGACTGATGGGAATTCCAACCAGTGTGGAGGAGTAGTCAATTGAATTGTTAGACAGGGCTCAGGGGCTAGATGTTTGATGAGCCAATAAGTTCGGGTGCGCGGTGTAAGTGAGAGAGAGAACAAAGCGGGATGAATCGACGCGCTGACGAGGTTCAGCAGAAAACCACATAAGTTGACATCAGCTTTGGGCCTTGAGGGCGATGGCTGTGGCGCCTCCCCTTAGCCTCTCAGATGGACGACAAAGAGTGTTTACGCCGTCCGTCGGCTATCAACGCGCAGTCTACGGCTGACTAAAGGACAAGAGGCGAGATACCAGCCCGATGTCATTGAGGAGGTGGAAAGGGAAGCTTCGTTGGTTGGAGCATTGGCAGGCCCTACGGGAACCGGACTGCGTCGCATCTATAAATGGGGCACAAGAACTCCAGGTCTCGCAGTGCGTGGACTATGGAACATCTGTTTTGGCGACTGGAGCGTATGGTTGAGAGATACTGGAAGGTGAAGCGTGGTGATGTAGGAGGTATGTACCCAAAAATCAGATGAGTAGTAGTAAAGTTTGAAGTTCTGTTCTAGGTCCTATTTTGTGACACACATCGGTACATGCATCCTTTTGTACTGACAAAGGTAATACGAAACGCTAAATTGAGGAAAAGGGGTATCGATCCGGAGAAGGGAAGAAAGTAGCAAAACGTTGGAACAAGGCGTATCATCATAGAAACCTAGCCCATCATCATTCGATCATGGCCCGAGACGTAATCCGAACCGGGACATCCTTTAGCTATACTGAGGCGGGTGCTGAGTCGGCGCCGTCTGAGAAGGCGGCTGCGGCATGTAATACTCGTCCGCCGCGCCGGTGGGAGCCGGAGCAGCACCGGCCGCCGGGGGCGGAGCAGGTGACGGAGACCGGTAATGGGGCGCGTAGCCCATGGGCTCATACTTGCTGTCCGCGTTGTTGTTATTGTTGTGGGTGCCGGCTCCGGCTCCGGCATACCAAGAGTCTCGGGTTCCGGTGTCATCGGACCTCCTGCCTTCTTCAATCTTGGCGTATGTGCCGCCAGCGGAGCGCTTGGTTTCGTCGCCGTCGCCGCCGCTTCCTCCGGACTTTTCCCTGCGCCGGGAGATGAATTTTCGGTAGAGAGTAAAGGGGATCCAGAGGCCCGTGGAGACGAGGAGGGCGCGGCCGAGGACGTGGCCGATGCGGAATTTCTTTCCTTCCTTTTTGCGCTTGAGTTCTGTTCTCCGGTGTAAGTCATGCTATTCTTCAATACTCCTGCGATAAGACAAGCCTTACCTTTGACCGTGTAAAACGCGAGCGAGACCAGGAACAGAACGAACCACACAACCAGGACGATGATGAGGATCCGGGCCCAGAGGGGAAGCGCGCTGAAGCCGCCGCCTCCTCCACCTCCCCCGCCTCCGCCGGCGGCACCGACGCGGCCGCCGCCTTTGTACTTGTTCTTTCCGCTCTTTGATTTGGATGATTTTGAGGATTTGCTGCCGCCGCTGGAGCCGCGGCTGCCGCTGGAGCCACCGCCTTTGGGGACGCGGGAGTCGAGGATGAAGTCCATGTGTGCTCGGGTTGGATTGGGTTTGTTGGTAGGTGTGTTGCTGTTACTGTTGTGAGCTGGCGGCGGCGCTTAGATCGATTGGTTCTCGTCCCTCGCTGGAGGATATCTGATTGGTTGTGGGAGACTCTGTTACACAAGACACTCGAACTGAGGGGAAGATGTGATTGAGGAAATGTTCGTTGAAGCAAAGTAAGAATGGATCTAAGGCTGAAGACAGTGTGTGTGTGAGAGAGAGAGAGAGCAGCGGGCTGCCAAGTCTTTAAGTATCAAAGACACCGCAAGCGGCGCCCGCCCGTCTTACATGCGTCGACCAGCGGCCGGCGGTTTAGTCCCACCACCACCACCACGCACCCAGGCCACCGAACATTGGCCTTTGATCTGAGCCCTGCTAGTTACAATGTCACACACCGTACAGATACAGATGGTCTGGGGGTGAGGCGGGGGTCCCTCTCTCGTCATTTCTGACCTGCAATCTTTTTGACCTCTTTTGAGAGGCTGCGCAGCTGCGCATATTCATCAAGACCCGAAACTAGGAAGTTAGTTGTAAGCGAGGAAAACAAGCTTAACCTGCCCAGCAGAAAGACACTTGGAGGATGCCATGAATTGGCCCAGCAGACGGCGACGATCACTTCTCTGCCGCTCTGGCAAGGTCTGGCTGGCTGGTGAGAAAGAGCGAGGAGACCGAGTTGACAAGGTGTGATTGAGGATTTTCTTAGTCTGGTCTTGGCAAAAGATCAGCCGTAGGTGATGCCATTCGCCAATTTGCGCGCAAAAGGTACAACGATATTCGTAGCGTGGTATAATCTCACCATGACAGCCGGCGAGGGGCTCTTCCTTGGCGCCGTCCTAGCTCGTGGTAATAGGCTGTAGCCTGTAGGTACGAGATGCTCCATAGGAGAGAGGACAAGTCGAAGAAGTCGCGACTTGATAGTTCCTCATTCGGCATCGCGGTAACCACAGTATCGGGCGGTGTTCTCAAAGCTGCCAGGGGGGCATGCATGGTGTATACTTGCAAGCGCTGTTGGAGGGATGACCCCTTCTGAACCTGGAGACTGACCAAGACCAAGACCAAGAACCCCCAGTTGGCAGCATCAACAGCGGGGGACCTGGCGTAGCTTTCAATCAGCCTTACGGAGCGGCCATGTGCGGTCCTCCCTCCCCCTTCTGTTCTGGAGAACTGGAGCACCACGGAGGCAACCGGAGGGCTGTGATTCCCTGAGAGGCTTGTGAGAGGAGGGACCAATGCTTCCCTCGGAGCTTATCGCACATTTAGTACAGGGGCATAATCCCAGTGGAGTGGACCAAGGTAAGGTCGTGCCAAACTCCCATGCTCCCTGGAAGCTTATTTCTCCATGTGCTCGACTTGACTCCGCTCTCATACTGGTGTATCCGTAGTCAGCGCCAATGCTCTCGCTCTTCCAGGAAACAATTTACGAACATGTTCCCACCCTCTAGGCATCTAGAATATAATCCTTGGCAACGATGGCTTCTACAATCTCACAGGCCTCTTGGGACTTTGGAGTATCCGTAGAGAGAAGGACAGCGAGAGACGATCGAACTCGTAAGGAGACGAGAGGGCGGTCGCGACGTCATTTGAGTAACACTGATTGCAGATCGTCGCCCGGCACACGTTGAACTTTTGGAACTCAATTGGTCCAGACTTTAGGGGATCTTTCCTCCTCTTAAGTTCCTCCTCTGCTCCTCATCTGCGGCACAGCACCGATCGCCTGCTGCTGTACACAACATGCCGTCATGTCTGCATAGCACTACCAATCCGCAAAGACGGTGATGGTTTGGCGTGGTTGGTTAATGCTCTGCATTCTCTTGTCATCGAAGCCTTGGCAACTTGGCAGAGTCGATTCTTCATTGGTGGGTCAAGCTATCCTCGTAGACGTACTGCACGCTTCGGCCAGAGACGAAGATAAAACAAGCTTTATCGTCGAGGAACAGAGAGAGAGAGAGAGAGAGCTCTCTGCTTCGATTACGTAGGAAGGGTTTGCTATGACGGAATTCTCCTCATTCTCCTGTTGGCCAACTCTGAATTCCCATGCAACGGGTCTCCGCGGGCGGGCGGCGAAGCCCGGTGCAAAGCCCCTTCCGGAGTAAGGTGCCAATGCCGGATCTCGGCGACCTTCCCTCCGGGACTGTCCATACGGACGGAGATGGTGTTTGCCGTTGGGAAGTCAATTTCGACTTCATTCCGGTCCCCAGGAAACGGGGTCCGGGGTTGGCCTGTTCGTAACCCAACTTTCAAGACCTCACGTGCTTCGTGCCTTGCTTTAGGTAGGTCGATGCTGCGCCTCTGTGGTGGTGCTTGCTTGCTTGCTTCCAATC